TAACTGGTTCTCCACATTGCACAAGTCACGCTCTTGAGCTGGTATTTTGTTCTGGGTGGGAGGGATGTGATTTGAGGGTAGAGGGATTGATTATGGCTCCTTTGTAATGGACAGATCATTATTTGCTCAGGTTTAGACCTACAGGGATAGCAAGACTCTGCAGCATGGAGGAGCTATTAAAATGATCTGTCTCTTGAGCCAGATGGATCCAAATGATCTGGTTGGTGTTCCTGTCAATGCCCTGGAACTTCTGGAATGAGGAATCTCTGGAATGAGGAGTTCTGGAATGAGGAAATGACCTGGGCAGTTGACACAAGTGCTCCCAGGCCCCCTCTCTCAATTGTTAGAGCCCAGGTAGACCCTTGGTTTACTGATGGGCTGTTGGCAATGAAAAGACAATGGAGATGGCTAGAGCGACATGTGGAGGAAGATTCAGGATGACTCTGATAAGACATGGGTAAAAGCTCACTTTAAAGCATACTCTGTGGTAGTGATATTGGCAAAGAGACAACATTTTCCCATCACCATTGCACCTGCACAGTGGAGCGGTTTGGTATGGTAAGAGCTGTTGGGATTTGGCCTGCAGGAGGAGATGAACTGCTTGGTGGCATACTGTGGCCTTTGCTGAGCACTTTGAAGATAAAATCTCTCACATCCATCCCAACTTGGACACTGCAGCAGCAGTGTCAGGATCAGATGGTGCCAGGCTGCTGACCTGCCAGTTGTTCAGAATACATTTCAGTTTATTAAGTCTGAGGATGCAGACAGATACCTTGGAGGTATGAGGCCTACTACTTGCTTGTATGACCCTTGCTTCTTAATCCCCTATGTCCTTTCATATCTACATGAAACTGCTGGGTGATGTCTTCTGGAGATTTGGACTGGGTTCTCACCAATATGTGGATGGCACTCAGCTCTATCTTGTGCTTCCGGCTGATCCCAGGGACACTGTGGACATTCTGAATTGGAGCCTGGAGTCAATTTTGGATGTGGGCTAATAAACTGAAGCTTAGTTCCAACAAGATGGAAATGCTACTGGTAAGCGGAAAGTCAGACCTAGAATTTAAGGAGTCACCTGTTCTGGATGGGGTTGCACTCCCTTTGAAGGAACAGATTGGTAGTCTGGGAGTACTCATGGTCCTAGGCCTACTCTTACCTATGACGGGTTAACCAGCTGAGATATTTCCTGAGCAGTAATGAGCTGGTCACTGTGGTATATGCTCTAGTTACATCTAGATTATATTACTGCAATGCACTCTACGGAGGGCTGCCCTAGAGAACTGTTCGAAAATTTCATTCAGCGCAGAATGTTGCCATTTTAGGATGTTGCCTGGAGTTGGTCATAGGGACCAAATCAGTCCAGTCTTGGTTCATCTCCACTGGGTCCCAATTTGTTTCCAGCTGCAATTCAAGGTTCTGGTGGTGATCTTTAAACCCCTATATGGTTTGGGACCAACAAAGCTGAAGGACTGCCTACTCAAACCCGTAGCTACCGTGGGGCCCATGGGGCCCACTCCCCATGGTTTTTATGGGCCCCTCCCCGATCCTCAACTCCCCCCCTCCCCCGGTCCCCTCACCCCCAATTGATTGCCACACAAACTGATCAGCCTGGGAGGACAGCAAACTAGGAACAAGTGCAAGGCAAGCGGGAAGGACCAGAAGGCATGCCAGAATTGCACCCCCCCCCCAAGAGGGGGTATTGATTTTGGGATATATAAAACCAGTTTGGAACAGAAAGGGTTAACTTGTGTGGGGCGAGGGAGAAAGTCGGCGGGAGGGGGCACTGACTTCCCAGAATCCCAGTGAAGGTTGTTAACAAGCTTCCAGGGACCTGCAAGCCTCCCCGGCCAGCTGCGAAGCATCAGCTCCTCTGGCCCGAACAGCCCAATACTTACTTAACCGAGAGCTCAGCCGCACCGACTTCCATGGGACTTGCTCCCCACCAGCGTCCAGGAGCCCAGGCCGAGTACCGTAGGTGGTGGCCAATGTAGCCGGCCACTCACCCGCAGTCTCTCTGCTCCTGCCTGGGGGCACCTCCCCCTCTCGCACAGCCCCCTGTCGGCTTCACAACCCCCCTGCAGGCTGCTTGGCACTCTGATGGCGCCAGTAGGTTCGGGTGACTTCTGCTGTGCTTCTCTCTCCCTGACCCCGCCAGCCTTCATGGCTTCAGGCTTCCCTCCCTGCCCCCTTGTAATCAGCAAGAATTCGGGGGTGGGTGGGGAGAGTGAGAGTTATAGATATTTGACACACACACACCCCACAGGCATAGTGCTGGTTTTCTGCAAAGGAGCGGATTGTGCCAGAAGCAGTATGGGAGGAGGAGGAGGGGGAAAGGGAGGGCACATTTGAAATCCCCCGTCTGCCCGCCCACCCCATTCAGTCCTTTGGTGCCATCGAGCCTTTCGCCTGCAGACGCATGCAACCCGGATCCCATTAAGAAATGAATGGACTGTCACCTTCAGCTGTTCTCGCCATCCCCGTCCCCCCCACCCCGCCGGCTTTTTCACTTCGGGAACACAAACCTGGGAACACAAAGCTTTCTCCCTTCCAAAAATCTTATTAACCAAGCCTTTATTTCTCCTGATGACAGGCCCCCCGAGAAAAACATGCCCCCCCCCGAGAAAAAAGTTGTTAGCTACAGGGCTGTGCCTACTCCCTTATGAATTTGCCTTACCAATATAGTAAACTTCAGAGACTCTACTTCAGGTGCCCCTGCCTTCTGAGATTAGACGGGTGGCAAGCCGGGAGTGACATCAAATCCCTGGAACTCTCTCCCCAGGGAGATTTGTCTGTCCCCTTTTGTTGCCATCATTCACCAGTGAGTGAAGAGTTTTCTGTTTTGTTTGGCATTCTGTCCTTCCTGGCCAGTGTTTAATTGTTGTTTTTATGGGGGGTTTATCGTTTTAATGATGTGTTGGGTTTTTAGGGGGTGTTGTGTTATAATGGTTTTAAAATGTGATTTTATTATGAATGTTTTAATTTGTTGGCTGTCTTGGTGGCCCTAGTAAGGGCAGAGAGGCAGGGCAGAGATTTTGTTATATAAACAAACAAACAAAAACCTTGTCCCATATGTTGACATCACCACATTGTCCATTGTCCAGCCCTGCTTCACTTTGCTGGTGCTTATTGATTAAATAAAACAATAAAAATGGCTAGAAAATACTAACTTGATGAGATTATACATATGATGGCATCAAGAAGATTACTTTTTTATTACGTGGTGTTTTATTCACGTATGGGAATGCCGTGCGCACATCAGCAAAACACTGCCCAGAAGGATTTCACTGCAGGATTGGATCCAATCATCTGTCAGTGAAAGGTGCTGACTGTTGAATAGCTTCCCTGCTTTCCTCCATCCCTCAGTACCCATTTCTGACCCTAGGAAAATTTGTAACCCAGGGTTGTGGGACCTGTGTGGATGAATAATGTAGACTAATAACTACATGGGTCAGTAGGTTGTAGTGGGGAGTAGGAAGGGGACAAAATTACTATTCCTGCCTCTTCCATCAGCATAGTTCTCCTGACGTAAGAGGAAGAAGGTAGTGAATTTGTCCCTTTCCTACTCTCCACTGCAACCCAATGACAAGCACTACTCTTACTTCATGTGGGTCGCATGACCCCAGGAATAAATGCTCCTAGGATCTGAAATGGTTATTGGTGGTGGGGAGGTGTGAGCAGGGAACATTTGAAATCCTTGCATGATCTTTGCACTGACTCCAACCCAAGTTGTTCTACACCTTAAAGAACTATGCTGCGGACAAAGAAGATAAAGGTAAGGATTTGTTACAATTTGCTCTGGGCTCCTTGGATAGGACGAGAAGGAATAAAAAAGCAATAACCAATAATAAAAGGAAAGATCCTTGTGGTACAAACTTTCTAATAACTTTGATCCTGATATGGACTAAATATACATGACTGAAGAGATGGGGGGCAGAAGAGGAGGAAAGGAGGGTAAGAAAGGCACATGATTATGGAATGTCTGCTGCACATCTATCATCTGTTCATTTCTCGCTCAGATTAAACACTCGGGATAGGTCTCTAATCCTCTGGAGACCTTGGGCTGTTTTTAATCCATCACAGTCCAGGCAGAGGCAGCAGACTCCTTCAGTCTTGGAAGCCAGAGAGCACCTTACACCCAGCTGTGACATCAAAGTGGGACAGGCTGCACAATCTGAGAGCACATCTGGCCCTCCTGAACAAAACAAGAAAATGCTCCAGAGGCCTTTGCATTGTCACTGGACTATTTGGGGCTATCCTTTTGGTTGGAGCAGGGCCTGTCGAGTGAAAAGATCAGATTCAGGCTAGCCTGGTACAGATGGCCCTCCCCTGCTCCCCGGTGCTTTCACTTACTGTGCAGTGGAGGGAGAGAAGAAGGTGTGAGCATGCTGGCCCCACCCCAACTCTACCTCCAAGAGATCTCCTGAATGCCTGCAAACTGAGAGGACGTGGTCATGCATACAACCCCTCCCCATGAACGGCTGCACAGCTTTAAGCAAGGTGCTCATCATGGGGAGGGTCAGGGTGTATGCATGCAACCGCTTCCTCTGGACAGCTGCACTCTGCAGATGATCAGGCAATGCTGAGGCAAGGGGCAGGGCCACCATGCTCATGCCTGCTCTTCCTCCCTGCATGGAGTACTGGACTACTCTCAGTTGGTTATCACTGACCTTTAGTTAAGTGTGTGCTCTCACCAGCCATGGGCGAATGGGTGATGGGAGTTCTCAATCTGTGCTCCTAGGGAAACAGCTGTTTATGTGCTGTGTCACTTTTCACTCCTCTGCTGCTGCTTTCTTCCAGCCTCAAGGTTTATTGATGACCTCTGGCTGGTGTGCTGGATCGTGCTGCTCAGTTCGTAGCGAATGATAATGCCTTCCCTCCTTTCTACAGAAGATAAACCAGTGGGAAGCACTGAAGTGGAAGACAGCTGGCAGCTCCTTCCCTCTGGGGCCATAAAGTTGCCAAAAGCCTGCTACTGAAAAATATTTGGTGTTATCACTAACCTGTAGCTGAGCTGTTGCAGCGAGCATCTTCTGCCTGGCTTGGAGTGCTGTGGATGAGGACATGGAGACAGACATGTTCTGCCTCAGCCACCTGATGTCATCCCACATGCAAGATAGCTGCAAAATAGAGGGCATGAGAGAGTGAATGAATGGATATGGCTTCCAAAAGTAGCTGTTGTTCATTTTCACATATATATGGGTTACGGTGTTGTGAGTGAGAGGTGTCGCATCCAACAACTATAAACAGCATGTGCTTCTCATAATCCATCTGTGCACCATCATGTAAAAATTATTCAAGTGTGCAGTCACCACATGGTAGGAGGATATAATTTTCAATCTGGCATCCACTACCTCTTACAGATATCTGCTAGACTATCACAATTCATTCTTCCTCTTTTACTATGAACTGTTACCTAATACCAAATGGAAATAGTTATAATGTTCTTTGGTAATAAAAGACTAACAAAGGTGCCTGTACCCTTATGGGGAATTCCCTCCCTGCAGAGAAGAAGAAAGGGGTATCTTCCTTAAATAAACCTTGGATTAACTAAATATGGCTTACAAAAACCATGAGACCAACAAAGTTTAATTCTGGGTATAAGCATTTGTATAAATTGTATAAAGTTTAATTCTGGGTATAAGCACATGAAAGCTTATGCCAGAATAAAACTTTGTGCGTGCACACAAAAATTTATACCCAGAATGCCATGCATGCACACAAAAGCTTATATCCAGAATTAAACTTCATTGGTCTTAAATGTGCCACTGGACTCAAACTTTGTTCTATTACTTCGGACGAACACGGGTACCCGCCAAAAGCTATGAGAAAAGTTTCTTTATAGAAGTAGTAATGGGGAGGGATAACTGTCACGAGCAGAGGACACATTTGTTCATTACTACAATAATAGCAAGCTTAATTGTTAAATGGAAAGTCGAATTTTGTTCATGATGTAACCCTCTTTCTTGGCCTCTGCCCTTGTCCTGAAGTACTTTTATTTATTTGAGAAGAAGAGGATGTTCTCTTTAGTACATTACTGCAATAGTCTTTGAGACCAGGGACCCTCTGAACATCAGACCCACTAATCTAAAGTATATGTCAGGAAGTCACATGACATCAGAGCCATGTGAGAAGAAGAAGGGAAACCAGAGGTAGAACTAGTGTCAAGCTTAGGACAGTGAGCAGTAGACTAAGACTGCCAGGGACAGGAAACACAAGCCAAGCAGCAGGAAGTTTACCATAGTGAGGAGCAAGCCAAGGGCCAAAGCCATAGAAGAAACTTCTTCACCACTGAGTGTCCTCACCTTACCATCCTGCTTCTTCTCTTGGTGTGCAAAAAGACAGAGGAGGGTGATGCCCTTGTTCTGTATGCAAGGCCGCTAGCAGCAGGTCCTTTCAAAAGAGTACAGAAACTAGGGTTGCCAGGTCTGGGTTGGAAAGTACCTGTAGACTTTGGGGGTGGATCCAGGAGAGGGTGGGGTTTGGGGAGGGAGGGGGCCTCAGCACGGTACAAGGCCATAGAGTCCACCCTTCAAAGCAGCCATTTTCTCCAGGGAAGCTGATCTCTGTCAGCTGGAGATCAGTTGTAAAAGCAGGAGATCTCCAGGCCCCACCTGGAGGCTGGCAAACCTAACAGAAACAATGGCCACTCTAGAGGGGCTCATGACCCACCAAGTGAGACTACATAACCCAACTGAGGGTCCCAACCCCCCATGGGTTCAATGTCCCTGCATTCCTGTATCTTTCATCAGGCCCCAAAAGACCTAGGCAGGTTTTAATCTCTACCAAAAAGAAATTAAAAAATCACTATCATTTCATCCCAGGCCAAAGTGACAGGTTTAATCTGAGCCAAATGGTCTCGACTTTGCTCACCCAAATCAGAACCTGATATACTGGCTTGGGCCTCAGGCCAGAGCACTTTCACACACTCTTATAAGATCATGGGCTAGATCCCAGTCAAAGACTTTACTGACGGAAGAAACAGGAAGGCTGATTTTGCCTCCACCCTGGAATTGACTTTCCTACAGTTGGAAGGGACTTCCAGAAGAAGGTGAAAGATCCATTAGTGCCTTCCACTGGCAGATTTGGGGATCCAACCTGTTGACCTCACCAGTGACACCCCTTGCCAAATTTGTGCCTTCCAGCAGCTAGCAATCCTAACTACAGCAGATTGAACATAGAAATCTAAGTCTGGTTTGGTCTTAACCATACAACCCTTGTAACTCCTTCCGTCTTTCAGTTCTTTCCTTCTTGCAGCTGTGCCTGGCTGTGTACTCAGCCTAGCAAAACAGACATGTCCAGCAATATCTTTCGGCAGGAAAGCACTATGTGCTTGTGGTGATCAGATTAGGACCAGAAAGTCCTGGGCTCAAACCCTCATTCAGCCATGGAAGCTGGGAGACCTTGAGCCACTCTCAGTCTAACTAACCTCACAGAGTTGTTGTAAGTATAAAAAGGAGGGCTGTGTACACTGCCCTGAGCTCCTCAGAGAAGGGACAGGATAAAAATGTAATAGAGAGATGTAACACTACCACCAACACCCCCAACTTCTGGCTCTGCCCTAACAGTTACACAATTTTCCAGGTAGGCTTTTCTTTGGATTTCTCATATGGCCTGATTCACAACAATGTGGCTGCTTGTGTATAGAGGAAACAAACTTTGTGTGCAGGCTCTGATACAGCCACCAGAGGAGGGATTCAGTCACATGGGGAAATGACAGGTTGCTACCATACCTTCGTGAACCAGAGAAAATCTTGCATAATGGAGCTGGTGTGAGAGTCATCAATTTCCACAATGGGGATCTGATCTTCATTGGTTACTAACATGTTGTCTTTGTAGTAAAAAATCACAGCTAAGTACAGCCCTCTGGAACCAAAAAAGGAGTCAGGAAACAGTTATTTAGAGGGGTGTTCTGGGAAGACCAGAGATTTTTGAACAGCCAAGCCAAAAGGGGTCATTGCCAGTCTAATCTGACTTTATAAATTACTGAAACAATAGAATTCAGTTTGTTGTACTAGAGAAGGAGAATCTTCCAGAAATTTCATTATTACTGAATAGCTTTGTAAAAATAGGTGCTTGACACTGCTTTGTCTGCTCAAATAAAAAACCCTAAGATGACTGGGTGGTTTTTTTAAAAAAATTCTACTGGATGAGTAGGAATACATGATTTGGATCTTTATGCCGTTAGCAATAAAACAGTAGCTGTTGTTTCTTTGAACTTTCTACCTTTCCTCACAGGCTTGTTAACAGAGGAACCTTTGAGTGGTTGTCATGGAACCTTTGTGCACTGCAGAGGATTCCAGATGTATTCTAGGGACAACACAGTTGACATAGAATTGCTTGGGTTGCCAACCTCCAGGTGGACCCTGGAGATCTTCCAGCCACAGAGATCTGTTCCCCTGGAAGTAATGTCTGTCCCTTTCCCAAACCCCACCCTCCTGAAGCTCCACCCCCAAAGCTTCAGGAATTTACTAACCAGTGTTAGCAACCATAGGAATTGCCAGATATATTGGGCCTTAAAGTTCATATGGCTTCAGTAATCCATTCGTAAAGAAGTCCCAACTTTTCACCCCCTTCACCTTTTCACTGTCAATGGAATTTCTTTTTCTTTTCTTGTAAAGAAGCCCCAACTTTTCACCTCCTGTTCCACTGTCAATGGAATTTCTTTTTCTTTTCTTTTCTTAACTCAGTAACAATACTCTTGCAGCCATAATGAGAGGAAAAGCTAGAACTGACTTCCATTGGGAACCTAATTATTTCAGTTTACAGTATAGCATTAAAAGGGCAGAAGAATATGAATATCTTAAGGAAACTAAATGACACTGAACATTCCCTCTGCAGCTACATATTGTAGGAGAAAAACCAGGAGTGGGCAGGCAGGATATTTTTCAGAAAAGCTTGACCCAAGAGCCTAATCTGCAATATGGGAATAATACTACTACTGGCCTACCTTATCAGGCTGTCACAAGGATTACTGCAATTATGTATGAGAAGTGTTTTGAACACTGAAATTCCTGCAGCAATGCTAAATATTACTACTTTCTTCTTGCTGCAGAGTCCTAATAAACTTCTCAGGGTTCCCCAGAACACAGTTTGAAGACCATTGACATAAACCCTGGGAGAAGGTGATTTAAAGCAATATGGTTCAGCATGAAGACCACCTGAATCAATGGGTTACTTTGGATTTGCATCAGAGCATCATTTTGTCCAACAGATCTTCAAAACTGTTTACATAAAATTCATTCCTTTTAAATATTTACATTTGCAATTAGTTACATACATTAATCAGTGGATTCAGTGAATTGAAAAACCCTCAGGGAGCTCTCTGGAAAGAACCAACCTCTTACGAAAACACAAAGAAGAAGAAAACAAACTGAACACTCTCGGTGATGAAAGAAGACATAATCCAGCCTGTGTAACTTTCATTCATGGAGACCAAGGCATCATGATGTAGAGGGAGTGAGGTTAAATTGGGTCAGAGAGGACAGCCAAAAATATTAAGGAGTCTCAAAGCTGGGTATGCTGGTAAACAAGCATTAAAATTGTTCTATACTTATTTTTAAAGCTAATTGACTTGTGACTATGAATAGTAGGGCAATAGAAGAACCAGCTCTTGGAAAGCATTTGCTGCTAGCTATTCTGTTTTACAGATTTCATTAAGAGTGAGGTCTTCACCAGGGGAAATTGGAAGGGTGAGTTTTCTAAGGAATACTGGCTACCTGGCTGTCTACCTATGAACAAATCCATGACATGCATTCAGGGGTCATTTCCTGCAGAAGCGCACAGGAGCGGAGCTCCGGCAGTAAAGAGCCCAGGGGGCAGGCACATGCAACAAGCCTCACCCCCTGCTCCCAGCTGCCCTCAGTCAGAGCAAGAAGCAGCCAGGTAAGCTGCAGAGCCCCCTCAGCCCCCACCGGTCCAAAACAGTCCAGGGGCACCTGTAAGACCAAGTTTTATTCAGGTACAAGCTCTTCCTCCTCTGCAAGGACAGATCTTCATGTCCCCCCCCAATACCTAGCAATCCAAAACAGTCCAGTGGAGCCTGAGCGGTGGGTGGTGCCTTCTGACACACTTCCGGTGATGTCAGAGGGTGCGGCATATGCAAATAAGTTATGCTAATGAGCCCCTGCACCTCTTTTTCTACGAAATGACCCCTGCATGCATTTATTAAAACTTTTAATTTAGCAGAGGCTCTGGGTGTTTCAGATAGTACGCCTTCTTCCCCATGAGCTTCCCTATCCCCAGAGTTCATCAGGAAAAGCCTTTTCCATCTGTCTAGTACATTGAGAGTTAAGCTGATGGCCACATAGAGCAGGGTACTATCTATGGTATACCTCGGAGGCCAGTCTCCCTCTTTGACAGAAGACCTTCCACCCCCTGCTGGCAGACAAAAATAGCTGGAGAAATTGGGGAGGGGATAACTGGCTTTGCCCGATGCCATAACATCACTTCCAGCATGACCTAGAAGTGACATAATTGTGTTGTGAGACACTCTAGCATTCACCCAAAGTTCTATGGTTAAACCATAGAGTTTTGTCTGAATGCTACAGAATCACTGGCAATGTGATGATGTCATTTCCAGGTTGCGTTGGAACTGATGTCACTGTCACTGGCAACATTGCTGCCAAGGCCCCTCATGCTGGGCGAGTCTCCTGCCAGTTTGCAGCCTCAGGCTGGCAACCCTATGTGGTACCATACTTGTAGAACTCTCTCCCTAGAAAAAAACAACAAGCATAGTCTGGGGGTGGTGGTGAGATTTTAGGAGGCTGACCAAGGCATTTTTGTTCTTCTATGCTTTGGACTGAGTTTAATAAAGCATGTGCCATTCTCTCTTTTTTAAAGTCAATGAGACTGCAAAGTACAAAGCTTTGAAGAAGTCATCCTCAAAGCCTTTTAATTAATAAATTATTTTAATAAAATGTAACTGAATTTTAAAATAAGTGTCAATTACGTTTGTACCCTTAAACTTTTTCAGCAGAACGTTGGGAATTGTGTGTGTGGGGGGGCAATTTATTGGAAGCCTCCTACGGTACAGATTCTTACTGTAAGGAAAAAAACTAGAGATTATTAAAAAGAAAGTGGAACATTCAGGAAAAGGACCTCAGATATCCTGGGCGGAGATGCTCTCCAACCACCAGCCACACACAGTTTCTGGGTTGAGACCTAGGGCTTTGTAAGGTAGAAACGTTTGGGAATTTCAGAGGCATAATTGGTGGTCTAGCGTATCAGACATACCGTTTCAAAGTCTTCACAAACTTGTTTGAAGAATGAAAGAGATGCTTCAGGCTTCTTGAGACAGACTGTTTACGACCCGCGTTCTGCAGTTTAGAACTCTCTGGAGAAAGAAAAAAGAAATAAGGGGGAGGTGGAACAAAAGAGACAGAAGAAGTGAAATGTGGTTTAACAGAAACACACAAAACATCTTTGCTGAGGCCATGATGGCTACCCCACTGGAATTATCATGCCAACAGCCCCCCTTCTAGATTTTACACTGATGAAAAAAGGGGAAGTCAAACAGGTATGGCTGCCAACATCCAGGTGGGGTCTGGAGCTCTCCCAAACTGATCTCCAGGATACAAAGATCAGGGCTGGGGTCACACTGGTGGTTTGGCGAGGTATGGTGGCACCTTAAATTGTACTGGTTCAAAGTGTAGCGGAGCATTTCATCCAGACCTTGTGACGAGTTACCTGCGCGGCCGTCCCATGGGGGAGCATCTACATTAATGTTTGCTTCAACTACAGGACAAGCTGTAAGGGTGGGTTTTATTTAAATGCAGACAGGTGGATACACTCATTCGCACATGCCCAAGCACCCCAAGCCCATCATTTTAAGCAATATTGACTATAGATCCTGCTAGCACTTTATATTATAATATAATTTTGTATGGTCCTAGAAGGTTTTATGATTGTATAACTTATTTATGTGTTTTATTTTCATGTAAGCTGCCCTGAGCTTACATGAAAATAAACAACTAAAAAAAACAAGTGGCGGAAATGGATCTGCAAGTTCAGATGTCCCTTCTGGGTTCCTTTCATTGCAGGAGAGTTCAGACATTGGAAAACCCAGAAGGAACTGTTAACAGTCCTTTAATACCTGACTTTCCCCGGTATCTGTTTATTATGGCTGCTGACGACTGCACACGGGAGGCAGATGTCCTCGTCTGGAGGGGCCCATTTATTCCGTTCAGGTAACGCCACTATAGTTCCACAAACTGGGCATATGACCACAGCCCAGGAGACAATGGCTGCTTTGGAGGATGAACTCTGTGGCATTATACCCTGCTGAGAAACCTCTGCTCATCACCACCACCCCTGGTCCCATGCCCAAAATTCTCCAGGACTTTTCCAAGCCAGAGTTGGCATCCCTACAAAACAGGCGATTTCTAGGGGAGGGGGTGCCATTTTCTCCCTGCAGGACTAACAGGAGCTTCAAAAGGAGGGAAAGGATGCAGAGAAAAAGGTATGACTCTGCTACCTTCCCACTGCCATTGCTTACATCAGATTTGGAGACTCCCATTTAATTACATCTCATTTAATGCATGTAGATTGCTCTTGATCTTTTATGATCCTCCCCCAGATCCTCACCCCACTTAATAGGCTTGCCAAGTCCCCCCGGGGGGGTGAGGAAACCCCCGCTCCAGAGGCCCATTCCCTGCCGGCGGCGGATCAGGCCCCGGGGGGAACTCCACCCCGACGTGCACGTCGCCCGGAAGTGATCCGGGCACACCGGGCACGCTGGGGGCGGGGCCACGGTCATCCGAGGGAAAACGCTATGGTTTTCCCTCGGATGGTCGTGGCCCCGCCCCAGCGTGCCCGTGTCATTTCCGGGTGACGTGGATGCAGTGCGCGTGCTCCAACCGCCAGCTGGGAATCCCCCGCTGTGGCTGAATTCACACTTGGCAACCCTACCACTTAAGCATTTGGGGACTGCTTTTTAGACTTGAGAGAATTTAGGCCCCTCTGACTCAAATAGAAATAATTCCTGAGTAACACTCATGTAAAGAACAGATGGGAAGAGCAGCTGAGAGCATTGTAGCCTTGGCAAGGCACAGAAGTGTCAGCTAGTTCAATTAGAAGAGTTGGGAGGGAGCCCAGAAGAACACTGCCACCCCAAGCCCTTTCTCGTTGGCTCAACCACTGGCAGAACATAGTTGGCCCCAGCTGAGAAGGTCTTGCCACTCCCTCATCATGACACAGGTGGAATATGGATGCCTTCTCCTTTTACTGAACTCCCTGAGTAATGGATTTTAGTTTTCCTGTCCCCTGCAGTGAGGGAAGCAGGCAGGGGAAGAGGCCCAGCTGAGAGGCTTGGCTGCTAAGTGGAACTGTTCTCCTGGTTCTTCTTCTTTTGTGTATGTTTTGGGGGAGCATATTTATAGTGGTTTAATGTGGTTTGTTTTACTGCACTCTAGAAATTTCTCCACTCGGAAGCTTATCTGCTACCTCACACCTTAACATCTTGTAAAGACTTTTCTATTTCTGGGGGCATTTGGCAGGGGTTAAAGGTTTGTTTTAATCTCCGACCCATTGCTTTCAGCTGTTTTCTGCAGATTGCTGGTTTTATTGTGATGGTTTTATTGCTGCATTTTACTGCTATCAGGTGGATTTCATTCTCCGTTCCCTGTCTGGAGTGTGGTGTAGCAGAAAAGGAAGTATGCAAATATTTCAATTTCAGATAGACAACTATCTCTGCCTGCCTGTTGGGGGAAGAAAGATTAACTAGATAGAAGCTACTGAAACTGGTGAGAGGCTGATTGCTTTGTTTTGCTGAGCCCACTTGTTTTGACTGGAGAGAGAACGCTTGCATGAGGATCCAGATTAAATTTGAGCCTGCTGTCAGATTCAGCTCTCTGTGCTGGTGGAGGAAAACAAAACCTTATTTTACGTCCAGTTCTCTGGATAGTCCCAGAAGAGGAGATTTCTCCTAAAACTGTAATACTAAAATGAAGCATCTGACTGTCACGTTAATAAGGTTGGACACATTTGTTCCTTTCAGAAGCCATATGTATGGTTTATAGCTGTTTTTTAAAAAACAAATATTATGGCACTTTATTTTTGACACAGGAGAGGGAGATGCAACTTTAGCATAATTGATGTTCTACTAATGGCTAATACAGTGTTGACGACTTCATTATCTTTTAGAGAAGGTACATAAGGAAGGAAGGGAAGTTCAAAGTAAGTCGCTGGTATTCAGGCGAGCGTCGGATCATGGAAGCGGAATTAATCCGGCGGAAGTAAGTCGCTGGTATTCACATAACCCTTAAGCTACTTCAGGGCCTTTAAAATCAACAGAACTTAGACAGGCTTGACTTTATTCATTTGGGTGTTTGTGCTTATAGCTTGGTCCCAAGAAAACTCAATGCACAGGAAGGGGAGTTGCTGCAGGAACATCAAACCAGGTACACAACATTTCAGCTTGGGTTGCCGACCTCCAGGTAGCACCTGGAGATCTCCTGGTATTACAATCAATCTCCAAAAGACCAAGATCAGTTCCCCTGGAGAAAATGGAAATAATCCTAATAGGAGACACCCAGGCCGAGTTCAGATTGGCAGCTGATTAAAGGGGTCGTTCACACAGGCACATCGGCTCCACCCCTAGAATCTCCAGGCATTTTCCAACCCAGAGCCGGCAACCCTAATTTCAGCTGTGTTTTTCTTCCTTCCTCTGCAGGTAGTTAGAAAGCTTCAGTGTGCCAGGGAACAAGAGTCTCTTGGTCTAGGGCTGGCAACAGGCCCCTTTGGATGAGTCCACTACAGGATCCTGGACCAGCCCAAGACATTATTTGTTACTTCGTTTTTTGTTGGATTATTTATATTGGCTTTTCTTGGGGAAGGGGCACAATTAGCTGCTTTGGGGAGAAAAGCAGGATCCAAACATATAAGTAAATAAGGCCCCGGTCACACGGGAGGATTTGCCCCACGAAACGGACAGGTTGAGGGCGCATCAAACGGGCGCAATAATACGGCAACATCTGAGAAGTGTAGCGCAGCTGTCACCAACCCGTACCGTCGACCCGGAGAAGCGGATTTTAAAAATACCAGCAAAAGGGTAGTAGCAACCAGAAAACGCGGGTCGCAGGCGAGCATCGGATCGCGGAAGTGGAATTAATCCGGCGCATACGGCATGTGCATGCATATCTGATTGTACCATGCCGGTTCTTCCTGGCCTTTGATGTGCTTCAACATCGCCATGTGATCACTGGCTAGCGCCGTATACGCGGCACCTCAGGGAACCGTATGATCGTGTTACCGCACATCTTTTTGATCCGGCACTAAAATGCCTCTCTTCTACTGTGGATTTTCCTGCTCATGTGACCGGGACCTAAACAATCCTAATAGGAGACACCCAGGCCGAGTTCAGACTGGCAGCTTGCCCCAATATAGGCGCATGTGAGGAACGTTTCACAAGAGGATTAAGGGGTCATTCACACAGGCACATCTGTCCGGCGTTCCCCACCCATACTCAACCTGTCTTGTAGCGCTTACCTCCCAGGTTTAAAAGATACCTGGTGAAAGTGGTAACAAACCCTGGAGAACCCATTTATCCCGCTTCATTCCGCTTCCCAGAAGTGTGAACGCTAACCGCTAAAAGCCGGGAACAGCCCGTGTTAATAATGTGCGTTGGCTGTTTATGCTGACTGACCTCCTAGCCTCACTCTGGCACCAGGAAGGTGCAGGTGATTGCCTTGAAGGGGGGATAGTGATGTGGCCGGATGTGCCTATGGCCCACTGTGGCCGGATCCTGTCCTAGTTGCTGCTGTGCCCAGGTGCATAGGCGTCTGCCTCCAGGCCAACAGTGTGAATGCTCCCTCGCGTCTCCTCTCGGTATGCTCTCGCATCAGTCTGTGCAGTGTGACCGGGAAAACCCGGAACAGTTTGTTCCGGCTCTTTTTTGCAACGACTCCCTCCCAGCAGGTGGAGGTATCCAGCTCTTCAAAGCTGAATGTTGTGAGTCATGCATGAGATACAAATAGGGGGCCTTCCCCATAGTTCAGTGTGGGTTAGTTCACATCTTAAAAAAAGCTGCCTGCAGGAACAAGGCTCCAATGTGCACACAGAGCTTCTTCACCCCAAAAGATAGTTTCAGAGGGTAGCCATGTTAGTCTGTAGCAGAACAGTTAGATTCAAGTCCAGCAGCTCCTTAGGGACCAACAAGATTTTCCGGGAATGAGCTTTTGAAAGTCAAAGCTCCCTCAAAAGATGGAGTTGCTTCATAGAACAATCCATTCATCTATATGGGGCCAACCCTGGCAAATGTTGCCAAAGCTTGTAACTCCTGCGCTTGGAATAAACACTTTGGCAACCTTTAACACTAGCCTTCAGTTTGAGGCCATG